TAAATGTCGTCACGTGATGTCCAGTGATTTGCATACATTCTTGAACCAATTCAGTTCTGCAAGGCACCACGTGAATCTGCATGATACACTGCGCCCCATACACAGATTACACCGATTTGAAATATTTATGTATAGGAGATTTCTCATAGGAACCCTATCGTATCTCTCTAATTAGCAGCTATTCATGGTAACCTTCCGATAATGACAAGTAGTATTTGATACCATTCAAACTCAAATAGTTTTTGGAGCGCCCATACCACTCAAGCAGTAAAAAGGGCGGAACTGAAATGATAAATAAGGTGAAATATTAATATTTCGTAGCTGACAAATTGGAATTCTTTGATTTGTGAAAGTGTTAGCGTTGTAATGATGTCCAATGCCCTTTTAACTTTTAATCTTCAGAGGAAAATGCAATAGATTCCGATCAGCTCTTTGATCGCTCAGATATGTTTGAGCATCATGGAGTAAACTTTGGTATCCCTATTATTTTACACAGAAACAGGGTGCGTTTTCAGTAAATATCCTTGCAAAATGCTCTATCTAAATATTAAAGCCATGCTGAGTTCTGACACTCCTGTCACAAACTTTTTTCGACGGAGATTCTCTGTACTAGTAGGGCAAGCGTTTAAGAGATATATCTCTGAAAAAATTGATAAGTGAAACAACCTTCACTTCTTTACCCATATAGGGGAGGGAGTGGATGGTCGAGTTGACTACTACATAGAGTGCTTTTTTTATAATAATTAAGCAACGTCACTACTATTTTATTGGTACTTTTGTCTTGAATAACTGACTTCCTTCAAAAAAAAAACCCTGCTGTTTCGTTTAGCCTTTCGGGAAAGAGAGGCTTTAAAGCTAAGAATGATGAAACGAAGTTCGCACACGCTATGGGCTGTGTCGAGGGTTTTATCTAATCTGTGAAGGCCCCTAATTCCTCAGTCAGTTGTGTTAGGCGTGGATTGCACTGAAACACGTTTCGACATTGATTCCGGTTGGGAATGAGTAGAATATCCTCATAAGAGAAGGCGCTGCTCAATTGCCAAAGTCAAACGGCTGATCTGATCTACTTTGGAAAACATCGAACAAATAAATTTTATCAGTAGCCTTCATTGCTAGTCATGAAATGAGAGTTGGTACGAGATAAATATATTGAACACCGTCCCATGGAGTAGAAGAGCCACGAGGAGATTGCCGTCGCGCCTCAGTGACTGCTGAATTACGACGTGGTCGCCGTCGATGCAGTGTTAGCATTAACCTCTTGTCACACTTACGCCTCCTTACTGACATCATCCTCCCTCTGCTCACTTCGATTCTGTGGATTCTGTAGCTGTCCTTCCTCGATAGGGGTGTCCGCTACGCAATCTGTGCACCTTTCCGCGATAATCGCCGTCGTCACGCCCCTAGGCAATGGCTACGGCTGCGGCTGCCGCTGGCGTTACTGCTGTTGCCGTTGTTGCTCCTGCTGCTTCTACCGCTACTGCTCCAATTCTCTTTGATGACCTCTCATTCACAACATGCTGATCTCATTCATGGCTGACTAAGCGTGACCCTCGTCACGTGCCGCCTGATCCTGATCCAGCAAGTGCCTTTGGTGTTACACCTCACTATACTTCCATTGTGTGTTAGCTGGTTCTACTCGCCTAATGTGTTTTGATTTCGTGGAATGAAATGCATGGGCATGTGTCGTGGCAACGATTTACTGGCCGACTAGGAAAATATAAGGTGAATCATCATGTAATTATCAGTAATTATCATATATAACACATTTCAACTATATGCCCTCAATAACTACTAGCGAAGACCGAATCGTAGATCTCTTAATGCGTTTTCACTCAAACGACCGTTGCTATAGAGCAAAACGAACTCATTTCAGGAGTTGCTAGACCACGTATAACTAATCCCGCTGTTGCAATCTATTAGAAGCGGAGATAACTTCGTTTTATTAGAGGTCATAAAAGTATAGCACTAATAATGTTTGTTCAAGCAGGAATTTGCCCCTACCCTTCCCTAGAAACCTGTGCGAACGTACCTTTCGCTTATCCCTTCCTGATTCTATTCCTGAATCTGCTTCTTTCGACATTCACTTGCTATACGGAGACAGGCTTTTTGCCGATCACAGGGGGCAGATCCACAGAACACCAGTATAATTTGTTTAGAACGCGTCCGCTAACAAATCGTAACGGGCAGGTTTTCGGAATAGAATGCATGGAAAATATTAATTACCGCATAGCCGCTCCGTCAGCCTTTCTCAGGCTTCATCTCTATGTCATGAATTTCAAAGCAGAGAAAACAAGAATAAGGATCTTGAAATGATGTAGGTAACCTGGGCGAAAACAGAAGTAACCAGTTCTACACGATCCCGTCTTCGCTGCCCCTTACACTTCGCTTGGGGTTAGAATATCACTGTAATAATATGTCATTTGAAGGTGATAGAGGGAAGATCTCCATCTCATAGTTTCATAGTTTGCACTTATACATCTCTATACATGTGGAGCACCAATGGCACCCGATTATTGTCGCAGGTGTTTTTTATAGATAACAGGGAGAAGCCGCGAAATACACTTACTACAATCTACGTGATAGCCTGATTCTCGGCCCTTTTCGGCTATGGCTGCCATGTGGGGCAGAGACAAGTGAATTCACAAAGAGAGTCATGAAATAAATTCTAAGCGGATGGTTCACCCTCCGAATAAGTAGAAGGGGGTAGCTCAATCGTCCCAGTGCTTCTGACCAGTAAGGATCTCGGTCATACTCGCACTCGACTACCAGTTTGAAAACAAAAATACTTCCAAAAAATACTCATTCTTCAAGGCGAAATGAGCGTAAATTTAAAGGCCTATAAATAAACCAAGTCAGTGTGTAAGAGGTTAACAAATAATCTGTCCCAAATTGATTAAGGGAAAAACCTATCTTGGTCAACGGGCTAGCGAGTTTATCTTTAGTAGCACAGTTGTCGCTGGTGTGTTTGCAAGTCATTCAAGCGGGTCATTTAATTAGAAAATAGTTTAACTTGAGCATAGAATTCTAACTACCTGGCCTACTATGCCTTTTTTTCTCACGATTGTTTGGTAATTTGTACGTAAGGCTTTCAACTTTACAACGAGTCCCTTGATTGCCTCATAGCTGAAGTGATGAGGAAGGCCATAGGTTCGAGTCTGGCTAGATGTTATCTCTAGTAGGTTATCTCTCTCGTAGTTGAGTATTTCTGCTTTTTCCCGAATAGACATTGATTCAGCTAGCCGCTGTCTAGCAGGAACAAAGTGCTAAACCAATGAATTTTTGTTTCTAGTTCAAGTAAATGTGGAACTTAGACAGGGCCAGGATCAAGCTGGTCGTTGCCAGCGCGTTCGGAGTTCGGAAAAGGAAATCAACCTGTAGTCTTACTGTCTTCGTACGGCGCACGTGACTGACTGTTGTACTTGCTACCTCAATCTTTCTATCTCAAATGTAGCACTTTGACCAATGCTTCTGCTCATTAATTTGAGATAATCACCGCTAAAGAGACATACCTATCCGCTGTACACAGTCCACCCTCACACTGTCACTCAAACGCACATACATCTCAGAAATGATAATGTAATTATAGGCTGTCATCATTTCACAGCCGTAGCGTGGCAAATGACGCTGGGGGTAGTAGTAGTCAAAAGAAGTTCTCCTATCTTACCTTCTGGCCAACTTTGCAGCCACTCAGTCGTCTCTCTCCATCTCCCGCTTGCTATCTATTCGACTGGCTTTCTTCCTGCCTCTGCCACTCTCTGTGAAATCTCGAAAGTGCTCAGCGTTTAAGGCATTTGCATAAGATATGAGGACGTGTCGCCTTCGTGTATATGCCGCGTTTCTTTCGTAGTTGCCTTTAAATTTTTACCGATGTCCTTGGAATGTTTCTAAAATCACAAGCAGCTGTGATGCCATGACGATTTCCCGCGGGACGTTTTGGCTTGGCATCCGTTCCTAGGGATAGCGCCTGCTGGATGTGTAGCGTTGGAGTAACTAGGAGAATCAGTACAAATGCAGTTTCTGTCACTCGTATAACAACAAGATGAGTTAGTGTAAGTGTGAAACGAACGAATGAACGATTGCGTATGGTGGTAGTTTAGCACAACCATCAGCTGTGTGTCTGCGTGTTTTCAATCAGCTAGGTTTGTTTATGAACCACGTCTGAGCAGCCTCTCACCAGGAATATCCGCAAACCCTGCGTAGCCGCTCCAATCCACTCCCCCTCCAGCTAGCTTTCTTCACTTAAATCGCCGCCAACCCATTATATAAGCGCACTACATGAGCGAGGTAATGGCAGGTGTTACTCGAAGCGAACACATACTGTAAAGCGGAAGTCTCCGACACACAGAATCTATGAGGAACGAGCCCAGCCCAGTGTTGAAAAACACGATGCCATCAAAATTACTTCGCGAAAGTGCAAGAGCACATCGTCGTGTGGTATTCGTTTTAATGCAGGCTTGCCCGAAAAAGCCTTTTTTCCAGCCCTTCACAAATCACGAAAGAGTTGAAGTCAGAAAGAAGTCTTCTTGTCTGCCTTTATGAAAGTCTAAACAAGCACAGATCTATACAAACACTTCGCCGTTGCTTTCAAAAAATGACCCGCCCGAGTTGGACGCTGCGAGCCCCCCCCCCCCCCCCCCCCCCCCCCCCNCCCCCCCCCCCCCCCCGCCGCTTGGCGCTTGGCATACTTATGCCCTCATCCACTTGCCAATTGTTAGCTCCTCACTTCTAGCCCGCAATCGTTAGCACTATGCTCCAAACAATCATCTTCTCTGTTTATTTGCTTATTACTATAAAATCCGCCTGATAGTTACTAGGTGTGTTGGTGCTGTGTGATACATTCAACGTCATTCAACCTGTCGTTCGAGCCGCAACTACCGGGTGGACTACGGTACATCGATAGTTCCGTAAGCACCACTGCCACCACTGGGAATCACAACAATTCGTTCTCGTCATCGCCGCCGTCCGAATCGACTAGTGGTCATCAAACTCTAGACGGATGTATGCTCGGTTCGGAGCCTGAGCCGCCGCTGCTCTCGCGGATCGTTGGAATTCCACCGCCACCGCCACCACCACGAGCCCCGTCAACAGCGCTTCTACGTCGACCGACACCGGCCGTCGGACAGAAACCTGCACAAAAGCCGTCACCGTCGACAAAACGCGACACTAGGAACAAATACAACGAAAGCCCGTACAAGGATAAACAGGCATACATAAGCATATTTGTTCTTTATCAATGGCATCTTAGTTTAATACATTCACCTTAGCTTAGAGACTCTTTCATAAGTATATCAAGAAGCACTTAAGCTGAGCTACGAAACAAATTGGCTTCGGAGTATGGAGCGTGTTTGATGATCCGTTTTTCAGCGTACTCCACTAGAAAAAGCCCGGCATCTCGACAACCTTCCGTCATATCAGGTGCGTTTTGAGAGCATTCTGTTCAATTTGGAATGTTTTCATGCCTCTACCTATGCTTGGATTCTGTTAGTAGAGGTGCTCAGAAGACAGCTCACTGCTGGATTCTTCTCATGACATAGTTAAGGGTCAGTGTTGACGCAAGTAAATACTAGGAATGATTCTCTGCTAGTTGTGTGTGCCTAAAGTGAAGTGTTTGACTCGGCAAACTTTTTACTGGTTCTTTCTTCATCTAACTCGTACCACCAACGCAAACACCGCAAAGGTCCAGTTGGGTTGACTTGAAGGCCTGGGATTTGGGTTTCTAATACTGTTGCTATTCGCAGAATAAGCAAGTCAGAAAATACCTCTATGCGGAGGCACGAGCAACGGAGAGAAAGGGTGCGAAGGGCACGAATTCGAACTTATCCAGGTGTTGATAGCTCATCATGAGGAATTTGCAGGTGTTTCCAGACCTCCTTACGTTGAGCCTATTTCTGCCTGGTGTATAGTTAAGTTTAGCCCACGAAATCTTGATAGGTGCTAAGTGCCGAGTGAAATTCCCCCGAGCATGAATTGGAGAAAGTGAAGTAGTCGAAAAGGTTGGGTTGAATCAAATATTATGAGGCTCTTCGGCAGAGATTGAGCAGCGACAGCCAATCCAATTGATGACGTCTATGCGAAAGACATGTGTTGTAGGTGTTTCGTTGGTCATCACCCTCTTCTTCCTTGCACCCTTCTAAATATAATATCGTCATTACTAGCTCATTTATAATTGTTCTCCTCTCCCTCCTATGAATTACGGCGGCCATTCCAGCAAACAACGGTGGAACAATGGAGTTCAGTAAAGAGGCGCTCGAAATTCGTCATGTCACATTATTGGGCATCAGCCAGACTCAATCAGCTTTCGCTGCCAACTTGTACTCGCCTTTTACTTGTCATTTGGCTCGTAGTACGCCTTTAGTATTTGACATGTATTGATGTGGCTCTAAAAACTCCAACTATAGGCCGATACTTGTTTTGTGAAACGAAGTGACACCGTCAAAACCTTAGAAAGCCCTCAAAGATCCTCTTAAAAAGGTGTCCGGGAATGCACATCGACTGATATTCATTGGAGGACTATTTAATCGTTTTGCACACAAAGCTGTGAGAAAAAGGGTATAGCTCTCCTTTTTTTGTGGAAACCCAGTGCATACAGATGCGACGATGGCAGTAAACGCTATCAAGGCTTTCTCACATTTCAGCTGCTCCATATTCAATTCTTCCAGGTAACCATGTACTCGCAGTGGTCTTGATGGCTTAGAATGAGTCTCACACTCCCCCTTTTCATCGGAAATGGCGGTGTTAGCAGAGAGAAGACGTGAAATGCGTCGACTTCGGCCGGCATAGCCGCTTCATTCCGCGCACTATTTCCCTCGTGGGCATCTCTTTTCCTTCGTCATTCCCCCTATCGCGGTCGGATAATATCATTTAGCTGATCAGGGAACGCCACCCTCTACCCTTCTCCTAATAACGCGCTCCTCTCGTCGCGAGTACAAACGCGAAACCAATCGCAAATCGTCTCTGGCTCTTCAGTTAGAACCGATTCCTCACTCTGTTCACTACCACTTACGGACATGTCTGGCATACCATGAAACTAGTGCCATCGCATTCATTGACGTCACTTAAGTTTTGTACCAATGCACCAGAAAAAACAAGCTAACGTTAAATATCTGCGGAAGGTAACCTTCTTTGAATCTTTCGAAATTTTCGCATTGTTTTGGTTTAGAGGCACATCTTTTTAGGCACAAAAACTTCTTGACGGCTCACATCAACTACGCATAGACTCGCACCACGTTGGAGCTCCTGGCCACGGCGCAGGTGCTGACATTGTCCGAATCGGAATTACCATGATTTCAGTACTACTACACACCCCTTACCAGACCAATGTACTTTTCCAACCAACGGACTTTTATTACTCAATTAAGCAACGTGGCTACCCATGCTCCTTACCATGATCTTTTGTGGATCAAACCATAAGTAATCTCGATTTTTTGGAGGATAAGCGGGAGATTTGGGCAAATTCGAATTTCTTGTTATTTTGTCCGAGCATCAGCCCTCAAAATCAAAAGTTTCTCTGCCCTATCTTCTCTCTATTAATCATCTTCGTAGTCCCTAATATTCACCAAAATTACAATGTTGTTGTGGTTGATACTACACCAATTCGCACCTGTAAGCAGATGATGACAGTCAGCCCTTTAGATTCCTTTTTATTCATAGGCAGCCGCTCCAACAGGCCAATCTAGAGTCTAGATAGAGTCACATTAATTACATCTGTGATATGAATATATGTTATCCTAGGCCACGGTCATAAGAAGGAGTTTGGTCCTGCGATGATTCTCTACTATCTTGCATCCGCATTCCGAGCCCTCTATCCACGTTTAGACGACGATTTCGTCGACAAGCTCAATTATTACTACACTACAACAATATGTCAGTGATTTTCATCTTTTTTCTGTGTTTCTGTGGGTTTCTGCGCAGCGCAGTCCAGACTTTTTGAACCTTCTTTCGAGTTTTTTTTTTGCTTCTCTTTAAAGATGGGCCCACTCGAATCCTGATTACTTTCTTTTCAGTGGCTTCTTTTGCTCTTCTCGTGTCAGCAAAACAGTATGTCGGTGAGTTATATTCTGATGTTTTAGCCGTTTTTTCTAAATGCCGATGAAGAAGTTCTGACAGTAGTCCTGAGTTTTCTGTGTGCCTTTCGAGGTTGGTTGAAAGAACATTTATTGAAATGGCTCGAAGTTTCGACCTAATCGTCTCCTCGGACAAAAACCGTTCGCATGGAAGGCATCCTCTACCCTTATTTTCGCGAGAATCAGCAAGACCCTATTCTCTTCCTATTGACTTATGCGAATTTTTCACACAATTTTTTTCTGAACCTTCGATGGCAACGGATCAGATCACATAGAAACATTGGGCCGTTTCTGTGATTATTTCACCAAACAACTTTGAAAGGCAATAGTTATATTCATCAACTTTCTAATTTAGTAAGAAAATCGTGGAACTTCCTCCTGCCAGTTTTATGGGCTTATCAGCTTGTAAGGAGACAAGATGTTCCCAAGAAGCGTTTATAGCATGTGGGACGATGAAGGGAGAGGAGTAGAGCAAGCATGCTTCTGCTGCTACCACCTACGCTTTCATAAGAGGCAGCAGCGGCGTCCTTAACAGCAGAGAGCGCAGCTGTGTTCCAGTGGTCATGAGCGTAATTCATAATTAGTGGGTTGTGAAAGTGTCCTCAGAGCTCGGATAGGGTTCCTAACTTATCCTGTTTTCTCCATGACGTCAGTGTACGGATTCTCGTCGAGACTTCATCGTTTTCAGGTTTCCCTATTCAATGCTGGGTTCCAGCAACATTCACCGACGCTATGGAGCAATACACAGAGAATTATTGTTGGGTGCAAAACACCTATTGGGTACCAATGCAGGTTGGTTCGTAGCAGCTTTCAAGGGTTCGCACCTCACCATTACTGAGGTCTTTCAACATTTTCGTGATGCGACTCATACGTCCGTCCGTTATCGTGTACGTCGACTTCATCACGAGTATATTGAGTCGTAACGGAATATGCTTTTAAGGAGGACATCCCGCGCGAAATTTACTCGCGACGTAATCGACAAATTGGCTATTATCAATGGGTGCCTTTCATACTGGCCATCGAAGCCCTTCTTTTTTATGTGCCATGCATACTTTGGCGAGGCCTGCTGTATTGGCACAGCGGTATCTTTTCTTTCTTGTTTTGTTTTCTTTGAAAAACTGTTTCCTGACTTTTGCAGTGACTAACATGAAACTTCTGAACCATTAATGTTAAAGAAGTGAAGGTAGAAGTAGCAAAAGGCACTGAGACGTAGCTGCCCCTAGAAGAAGTTTTCTATTTCGGTGTTTGTTAGAAAGGACGAGTTCCACAGCCACAATGACTATCCATTTTCATACTCCACCACTTACCTTCTAAATCTTGAGCGATTACGAGAGGTCACTGATAAGGTTGTTCGCTACGTACTTTGAATGACAGAAGTTGAGTATTCTGAGCAGCTGGAAGCATTCGGTGAAGGTGTAGTAGGCCAAGTCTTGATCGAATAAAATTTCATTTTCAGGGTATGCAATTATTGGTGCATAAAAGGTGCAACATCACCTTTTCGAATACTTTTTTCGGCTGATTAGATTACTCTTACCTCACTTTAGGTTCTTTTTTGACAATCGTGCGAGTTCGTGGGCAAAAGCTTAACTGAAGATGCTTTAGCGCCTGTTAGACGGCAAGAATCACTCCTTGGTATATCCGTACTAGAAAGTTACTGTGAAGATTACCTTTTAATGTTTCGCAGTACAAGTTTTTGGCGCATCCTGGTGTTTTCTCAATCATGCTCGATTTAGACAATAGCACAGATGAATTATTAGAAGCTGTATTTTGTGGGCCTCAAAAAGTTTTCTCGCCTTTTCATCACCCAGTGCCCGATAGAAGTTCATATTCAACCTCCCTCTTCCTTTCTTCGAGAATATCTCTGATCACCGTCGGCATGAAGTCAATTTCATCTGTTATAAAGCGTCATATGTTAGATTTCGAAAATTGAGACAGTACCCATAGATTTCTCCATAGCGGTGTAATTAAATTGTTATGTGGTTTTCACTCAGTGAAGCAAATCCAATGTCAATGTCAATGTTCAGGTATAAACTTACAAGGTCTTGTACAGATGGCATGTGACGCGCGTTTGATGGATTCTGAAGTGAAGACGAGAACCGTCTACACCATGGCACGTCATATGCAGGATGAAGTGCAGGTGACACAGTTATACTACTGATGAGTGCAGTACTCTTCTCATTTTTTTGATTAGGCAAAATACTTCAACAATGCTACTTCAGTTAACAAACGTCGATCGGTCAGGTCACTCACGGACGTGTTTCTCACATATGCAAATAGGAGCTAACTGTGGGAGGCATTGCGGTTGCTATGTCACTATGCTCTACATTGGTATCAAAGTAAGTTTGTTACATGAACCGCTGTACTGAATGCAATCAAATAATCAATTATACGCGGGGCGGGCAATGGTTAAAACGGACAGTACCTAAGCCGAAAAATCGTTATTTAAACTCATTTTTAGCTCGTAGAATGGAAGATATTTGGAGAAAATAGCTAGGCAAGTACAAATACAAGTACAAAGAAATAATAAATAGGCCAGTCTTCTCAGCGAAGCTATATCTCTAACCGAGAGAACTCATTCATTGTTACCAGTTTAACCAACTTTCGTGAAGTGAACGCGATCGACACTCATACTACACAGAAAGCTACATTGACCTTAAGAAGTAGATTTTGTAATGTAGTTAATAGTTGAGGAAATTAATATTGAGCGTGGCCACGGTTCCATCATTCTTGGGGTGATAGTTAAACCACTATCTCTTGTTACTGCACAGTACATTGTGCACCATAAATAGTAACCCTAGATATGTAAGCCTTATGGATAAGATTTTATCCTTTGTTGCTCATAATTTCCAACCGTCGAGGAAGTGGGGCAATCAGCATTCCAAATCTCTGAAATCTCACCTAATCGCCGCTGAGCTCTTTTTAGAAGTCAGATAGTGTTTATATCGTTTCAGAACAAACGTCATAGTGGGGCGGTGAGGGGCAGTTACTATAAACACTTCTAGCGACACGCAAGGTATAGCTGAAATGTGTCGGGTCTGATCATGGCCCAGTCAACGCAGTATTTCGTCACTACGCGGCCACCCCAAAACTTCCGTACTGGTAATGAAAATACTATTCCTTCGAAGGCTGAACCCGACACTGCCCTTAAAAATCTGCACCTTCGTGAGGCAGTCCGATTTTGAGTTTCTCTCGTTTCAAATAAAGAAAATCATTCGTTCAGAAAAAAAATCTCACTTTTTGTTTCGAGGAGAAATTCGAGCTGTAATGCGGAGCAAGTAATGAATTAATGGTTTCAGATTCTCTATTCGGCTAATGTACTGCTACAATTTTTTCTCTTGAATCATCTTCTCGGCTCCAATGATTTAGCATATGGCTTTTCATTGTTGAAAGATCTCATGCACGAAATTGAATGGGAACAAACTGGAATGTTTCCCCGAGTAACCTTATGCGATTTCGAGGCAGGTTCTTTACTTAGTATTAGTATGAATCGACTTAAGAAAAAATTCTAGATAGCGCAAACGGTCTATAACTGAGTCGAGTAGATCGCTGCGAAATTCTCTTTAGAGTGCTTCTTTCACTTTTTCACTAGTATTATTTTCTCATAGAAAAAGAATAGGAAAGTAGGGGTCAATTTAATATCTGCCAGTTGAGCGTATCAGACTGCCGCTACAGTTGTGGTACACCAGCCTAAAGTGACTGTCAGGTCCCTTGCATCGAGCTTCGCGGTCCTATCTCATGTAATGAGGGATCGCTTATTTCCTGATCTATGATCTATTTTACTGCTTCGCTGGATGCTTTCTTACCACCTATAGATGATAATGAGGAAATAACATCAAGAACTTGTGTTTTTCTCTATTTCACATGTTTGATTGTACAAGGCAAGCTACTAGTGTATAAGCAAAGGTAATGCAAGCGGTCCGCCGATGCTCAGAGTTAATGAAAAGCCACATACTTATCATTCATTTGTCTTCGCAAAATTACCCGTGCTATTCCGTTTTTCGAGTGAACTGTTTCGCTAAACATGCTATAGGCTTTTTATATGTTTAGTAGTCTCGAAGGAAAAGTATGCGATACAACGTCGTTCATTTGAACAATCCAAAACTTACAAAAAAACTTGCCATCGGTTTCCGATGAAGTGTAGAGGATATCTTCACGATCTCGCTTATTCAGCAAGCCATCGTGTGTATTTTTCTGCTCTGACGGTCTTCTCTTCCTATTGATGGCTTCCAAAGTCCTTCGTCCCGTGCCGCACATAGCTTTGCACTTCCTAGGGTTGCACATAGGCTTCCAATAATTATCCTTTCTACGTTCTCGGAAAAATCCGATCGAATGGCGACTAGAAATGTATTTTTTGGTTCATGAAAGGAAATAGTATTAAATATATTAAGTAATTTTATAGGTGCGTGTGCTCGGAAACATTCATCGGCACACTGTTCAATGTGTCCTTATGATTAATATGTTCAATGAGAAGATATTTTTATTTCTGTGGTGAGTACAATTCGTTTTAATTTAGTCTGATGATTTGAGTTGTGTTAGGTCTGATATTGTCGAAATTCCATACGAAATCTTAATTTTCAATTGCTGACTTTTTTCATGGGCGAAGATAGTCTGATAGCTAGGCTTTTGCAGGCAGTACTGTAGAGCCATGGTGTCACTCACGTTGGACTAATCTGAAGTGAATTCGAGTTACAATTACAAATGCATTTCACTCTTAATCAATCATGACTCATGCGGAATTTGCTATCGAACAGCCTGCTTTTCGCACAGCCTAAACTTGTGAAGTAGCCCACTTGAATCCTTTTCTCACCTTAGTCTCTGGGGTCTGCGTTCCGCTGACATACTCATCCTACTAAATACGAGCACTTTGGTTCTGTTGCCTCTGAATTTCTCAATGAATTCGCTTTCCCGCTGGTTGTTGGACGCAATCAGTAAACCACCAATCTCAGAACAACATTTAGTGCTCGCTCGGTTTAGCTTATGCTTTCTTAGCTTGGTCTCCTCTGGATATATAGTGGGAGCTGCCGCCAAGCTTTCTTGACGGCAGTGGTGCAATCGCTGAATGCATGCCCAATTGTACGTAGTAGGGAGCCCGCAAAAGATATACACATGTCCAATTCGATGAGCAGCCTATATATGCACATTGAAATCACTGAATTTTGCTCAATCATTTAGGTACCCGCGGAGTAAACTTTAAAAACCCTGCTGCATAGCACGTGAAGCCGAAAATTGATTTCAAAACCATTCAGAGGTTATGAATATAACGAGCACCTGCCAGTTATTAATCATTCTGATCTTCTGTGTTCACAAAGTGACTGAGAACTCATATATCCGTCATTTATAGCAATTAATCTCATTTCGCTTTCTGTTTCTTCATCTAATTTTTGGGTGGAGGCTTGAATGTAGTAACATGAAGAAGGAATTTATGGAATTTGGAAGTAAAATGACTGTGTAGATGAAAAAAATTGGCTCTCCGGTTGCACTCTTTGCTTGTTGCGCTGTTTTGTGCTCATGAATGCTCTTTTTCAATTTTTTTACTTACTGTTACTGATTGCTTTGTTTTTTCTTGTTGACAGGATGTTGTCAGCATGCGAATTCCATAGTATACAGCCCCTTTCAGATATTTGACTGGGCGATTTTCTCCAGTTTCAGAGTTAGTGTCTTGGCTGAAAGTATGACTTATTGATTCAACCACTTCTCCTTTCAGGTTTTGGTTCTTAACCGTTGGTGTTATCACTGTGTTTAATACCTGTTATTGGATATTAATTATGTTTATACCAAGTCAGGTGAGCGCCTCACAACCCGGGAATTCTTCGAATGATTATCTTGAAATGGCTTCTATTTCTCTACAATTTGCAAAACATCTATAAACATTCTCAGGGCATGTCCTTCGTTCGAAAGTATTTGCGTGTACTTGCCGATCATCCCGCAAAGCCGATTGCTGACGACGTCACATTAAGGAAATTCACTAACAACTTCTTGCGAAAAGATGGTAATCCTGGTCTTTTAACAGTTTTCGTGGTTTCCAGTACGATTGACAGTTAAATCTTGTTCATGTTAGTCATTATGGAGTAGTATTTTCAACGAAATAGGGCGCTCGATTCCACTCACTTTCCACCCTTCTGATGATCTTTGGTGGAGTTTGTTTTCTCGCGGAGGTCACCCTCCCGTTCGATTTGTTTCGGCTCTTCATTCTTTCCATTTTTGGCAGGCATCCTTCGCAGCCAACTTTTCATAACGCGTCAAGTTTCTTTCAATGATGGAGCTGACGTGGCTACTAGTAGCAACATTAACATTCCACACCATTCAGAATATGGATCTGGCAGCCCATTCCAGTTCACTAAAGTACTGGCGCGTCTAAAAGCTTCCCATCAATGGCCCATATCCTTAATCCATGTGAATCCCAAGAGGGATACTCTCCAACGCAAAATCTTAAGATTTGTGGAGGAAAAGAGGGCCCTATAAGGCCGCAAGCAACTTGTATAGTAATTAATGGTAGCGAAGCTCTACCAAATATTGTGATTGTTCTATAGAATGAGCATAACAATTATGAATGTATATGACTGGCAAAAAAGGCCTCGTAGAAATGAACGATGGACGGTAAAAAGAGGTGCATATCAAGAGTAGTCGTGGCAGGAAAAGAATTTCACGCATGAACTGAATTATGCAAAGCCTGTCTCACTGCAACTTCGTGAAAAATTTCGGCAGGAAGGGATGGAGGTTAGAACTGTCATCGGGATGTGGGGCTGACATCGATCGAGCGCCTGAATCTCATTTTCTGGAATACCTTTCCTTAAGAAACCAATCAAACCGCCTTCATCAGCCCTTACCTGCACAGCTGCACATCCGACTTATCAAGTGCTCACTTTCGCGACCTTGGAAACCTTTCTCTAAAAGGAGAGAGTCGGAGACGATACGGGAAAAAGATGAAGTTTTGCTGGTTCTTTCAACCATTCAAAACCTGTCATTACCTGCTAGTTATCCCTGAGACCATTCTTTTCACCCAGCTGAGGTCTTTGCGACGTGCCAGTGAATATATTATTTTGATGTTCTTTTTCCAGGGGTCTTCATGTTACGCATGATCTCGACACATGCCGGTGAATTAATGAGTAGCGAATTGATATTAGCATTATGGCAAGATTTCAATAATGTTGATCGGACGCCGACTCAATTCTGGGATGCCGAACATGGACAAGGCACACTTGACTAATCCTATAACTGACAATTCATTCAAATCCATTGAGCTTTCTGTATGTTCCGATTTCTTTTGTGAGATCTCAAGATGTCTATGTGAATGTTGTCTGTGATTGTCAGGCATGCCATAGCATATGTTTTACTCCTGCCCTTATAGGTATATGTACTGTGACATATTTTCTATGATCTGCTTGCTATTCGCCGTCTAAGTCACTAGAACATATAGCTCACACACGTGCCATACAAGTGATACTAGAATGCCATCACTAAGCATTTCACCTCCCCTCGGATTCCAACCTGTCGGATCGATCCTTGGCACGGCTCATCTATTGTCGCTTAGACGGCAAACGACGACATTTGATGTGTTCTTTCGATAACTGCCAAACTCTAAAACATGCGCGCATAGATGTGTACATGTGTGTGTGTCTGTGTGTGTGTATGTGTGCGTGCACGCGTGAGTGTGTGTGTGGTATGCAGCCTCTTCGGTGCTGAGTGTGTCGTTCGATGCCAAACCTGAATGCTTTCTACTTTGTCCCATAATGCTTGCCGGTTCTACCACACATACATTCTTAATCATGTTATTCTTATGCCTCAATACGGTACTTGCCACTTTTCTGATATGTATTGTTTTTGGATTATCATACATATATTATGTACTTGGAATGTGAATCTCTCTCCACTCATAGAGCTTTATTTATTGGTACAATTTGAATATTGTGATCCCATTCTGTTGTATACTACGTGTTACGAATACTATAATGATGGTATAGGCCCTAAATGTCTAGAGTTTTCTATTATCATCATGTTTTGCTCGAAAACACTTCAGTCCGATAATCCCACCACGTCGTGTGGGTTGCCGTCACGTTCAGAGTTCTACCTCATCGGTTGGCATACGGCTCGTAGTCAGATACACAGCAAGGAATTCTCATTCGTGCCAAATGAGGATTGTTTCCAATGCATAACTTTTATACTCACCTCTATGTAGTTTCTCATGAACTCCATGAATGGAATTGCGAACTTTATATAGAACTCAAGTGCAATTCGCTCCTTCAACTATTCCCTCCCTCCCATTCAGTTAAAGCTTTATAAAGGCGTAAAATCCACGAGGGTTTCGAACGTAGAGAATTCCTTGTTGGTACGGTTTACGCTGATGCCGCTTCTGTTATGGCATACGAGCCGTCACCTGCACATTTTCCCCCCATCACTCACGTGATTCCTGGCTCTTTTATGCTTCCAGTGTCATAATTTTTTGTTGCATTTTCCTCTCTTACCCATTTCATACGCTCTCTTTAACCTTCCAGTCAAAGCTTTTCTCACATCTCAGAAAACAAATGAATTCCTAACAGTCTGCATACCATATTATGAGGTCTTTATCTTCAGACGATTTCCTCTAATTGTAGCGTCAAATGTGTCGCGATGGGTTTGACGAGCATTACTGTTGCTGTCTTGGATTACATTGTGTTAATAGAAGTTTTGCGTCATTTTGAAATGTATATTTTGTAATGTTTCGAAGTTCTTCACAAATTACGTAGGATAAGGGAAAAGTAAGGACAGTCATTTGTGCTACATCAACTCCGAACTTTAGAAAAGAACTTTCTCGAGTTTTCCCAAGAAGAAAGGATATTACAAGGTAAACGATGAGCTCAACTTCCCAAACACGAATTACATTATGAGAGTACACACCCAACTTGTTTCAGCTTGTTGTCTCTGTTCAGTGTTACTTCGCCGCACTAAACCATGCTAAAGATTCACAAGAATGGCGAGATGCAGACTAAAATCCGATCTTGGACTGACTCGAACCCGTACCTACGCCCAGACTGGTGTTCTTGGCATGGCGACCGATGAGAGCAATGCTGTGCCTTATTGTCGAATGATAATTACGCCTACTTACAATCAGAATTCGATGGGAAATGCACAGTACTGATAACGGTTACGCAGCAACGGTGTAGAAATAAATGCGTGCTAGCGTTCATCTAGTTATAATATCGAGGTCACAGCTTAATTTACAGGATTACAACAATACCGCTACTCTCGATCGATGGTCACGGCTGCAGAACTCAGCCGGAGTGCGATCTGGTTCCTTCTTACAATCAAAACGTTACCTTCAGTCGCAAGTCGAAGTCATGGCTCATTTTACACTTCACTCACTCGCGGAATTGACACTCAATTCTACGATCAATCGGAAATCACAACTGCCCAATTCGGGTGGAGTTCGAATTTATTCTTGCTTTTAATTGACCCTCTAACCCTCTGTGTAAAGCATCTTCCATAGTCCACGATTTTGCGAGCGACACCAGTCGAGCGACCAGTCGCGCCACTGGTCGTGGACTATGAAATCAGCCTAAGCGTACTATTTCGCAACGCGCACACAAAATCACGGTCGAACAAGAAAAGAAAATCGATTTCGAGCGAACTATTGAACTGTGATATGGTGGATGCTTATGATGAAATTCAATGACTACAGTCACAAAGAGGGGGGGGGGGGGTGGTGACTTTTTGTAGCCCATAAATATTAGCATCACGATAGGCGACTTACAATTAATCTTCAAAGTTGTTTTGAAACCGTTAGTGGCTTTCAAAAATCAGTGCTTACGGCAGTAATCGCTGTATCGAGAATCCTTAGTTCGAAAACAATCGGCGAACCTTCCCGATGGCTGAGCCATTGGTGCCGGCGGCAATCGAAAGTCTCTGTTGTCTCAGTACCGTCCAAAGAGTTTGAATGTCGCATCCACTCGATCGGAATCGAACACTGCTCCTTTTCTCAGACCATCTTGGCCGTAAGTAGTGGGTTGGTTACATGCTCTCTTCGTACCTGTGGATGAGCAGGAGCGAATAGAAGAGTTTGTAAGAGAGGTAGTCGATAAACGGACAACCAAAGAACTGCGCTCCAGGAAGAGTAGTCCAAAGAAGCGGGTCCCAAACATTCTACTGTGAGCCTTCCATAGCAGGTTTATAGCCAAAACGGGTGACAGGATAAACAGAGCGAATTTGAGGGGCAGCACAAGAGGCGGTGAGATGATCAACAGATGAGATGACCTTACCAATACACTGAAATAAGAAGAGGCGATCTATTTCACATTGTCCATTACGCTACCAAACCCTGCCTTCACTCGACTTTTCGATTACATTCAAGCCACAGCTTATCAACACTTAAATGCACAGATTGATGGACCCGTCAGCTGACATTGGCACTGAACCTTCAAACTGTGAGCTGTTTCATTATAATTTGTTTTGACTTGATGTTTTTCTTAACTGCTGTTCTTTTGCCGCAGAACTCAATGCGAAAGTCTCACAGGGAGGGGCTCAGAACTCAGGCCATGGACGGGACTCGAACACGCGCTTGGGCTCCCCGATCAGGGTGGCTCTTATCGCTAACACTTCCCAGTTTTTGCTCACAACTCGCCATACTTGTGGAGCTCTCCCCACTCATTTGCAGGCAAAACAATTAGAAGTGGTGAACTGTCACATACTTCTCGAAAACTTGTATCGCTTTGGTTGAATTGCTCACCTTTGAGAGCTCTCTTAGAGGTATTCTAACAAAAGGCTGATGACGGCTTAGAACATCCCCGTATTGTGTTCACGTGAGATGATGTTAGATGAATTCTGATGTATTACAGAAGATGACGAATTTTAGTGTCACAAAAACTGCTACCGGAACGCTTTCACTAGCTCCAGCACAACACCAGTCCTCCACATGCTACGTCTTTCTGTGGGCCCCTAAATTTAGTTACTCTACCTTCAACGCATAATTTATGTTGATATCATTGTGATTTAACGATTTTTCTCGCTATTTTGAAATGTATAATTGTAGTTTCTAATGCGAAAACTCGAGACAAGCTCAGCTGAATTAGGCAGAAAAATCTCCACTAAACAGAACAACCAAGAATAGCCCAAGATCAAACCTATGACAGATACACTTCTGCTTCAAAACTGTAATTCTTTTAGGCATAGGCATGCTCTTTTCAGCGAACACTCCCACCGCGAGTCTTGGCTGAAGCTCTACCCGCCTTTGACTAGGTTACTTTTGTTCGAACGTCACTGAGAGCAGGACATCTGGGATGTTCCGTTTTCAGTAGAACTTCCTTGGTATGAAATCTGAACAAAGACTCGATCAAGAGCCATTACGCACACTTTATACAAGATTTTCGACAAAAGCTACAGATAAATAACCTGGTAATAAAATAGGACTAATTAATCAACCATATTACGATAGTTCAACAATAAAAATCCAAACTAAAAATGACTTTCCAGTCCAGTCATCACAGCATTTAATCATTCAGCTCTTAAATTATGTGCTGCTCACAAAGAAATAATTACAGCGATGAATCTACAATATTAAATCAATAAAGCAGGAAAGTTTACGAATGGTTGCATATCAATAATCCAGCCAACATAATATTCTACGAAAAGCTCGCAAGAAAATAAAAAAAAGTAATCTACGAAGGTTTAACGGGAGGATTTGGCCATTATACCTTTAAGACCCAACTTATGGTTTTTCAAATCAGTCAGTCTAGGGTAAAGTCATTAATTGATATGATAAACTGATCAACAGTAAACAGTGAGTGAACAAACCCCCGCTGAACTGTGTGAGTGGCCACTATGAAGTAAAGGACCAGTAGCTGTGAATATTCCACTTTTTGTTCAAATGTTTAGGTACAGATGGAACTCATTGAGAAGGTTTCACTCAAACAATACTTTTTCGAAATCACATCCAACTGTGTTTATCCAAAAGCGTCTTCTGCACAGCGTCTTCCGCAACTATTAGTCCCGTAAAACTCTTCAGCAACTTTCAAACTGGTCCGGATTATAATTTTGCCCACTGGTATTCCAAAGAGGTTGCATTGCAGTCGCGTTTCGTACTTTTCGCGAAAGCTGGGATTACTTAGATGACGAATTTTACGCAACAGGTGCATAACAATAAGAGAAAAATATGAGATGGAGCCTGAACTAGCTATCTGAGGAAAGAATTCGCCTCGAAGACGCTAAGAAGTCCCAGGCATGAAAATAGTCTAGTTA